AAAAAAACATTTCTTTCTTTTCCTTATTTTCAGTCATACTTGTTATAAGTAATCTGCGAGGGTTAAAAGTGCAGGTTTCAGAGTGTTTTAGATACTCCATTCTTCTGTCTGGATACAGAGAAGCTCCACCATCCTTCTCTTGAAACTTTTTGTATAGGAGGGATACATGTTGACTTAATGGAAAAGGAGCTTCCATATAATGAAACTTCAAAACAACCAATAAAATAAAATTATAATGACAGCAGTTTAGAGGCTGGACTAAGAGCAGTGGCTTTTTGACTGGTTGTCTTCTGTCGATGGAAAATTGTACTTAGTAGTCAGTATAAGCTTTTAATGATATAAGTTTACATGTGATAGAATACTGCATGATGACCACTACAAGACTTGTTTCTGTTTTATAAATTCTTTCCCACAGCGATAATAGCTAAACAAGCAGTTTCACTCCTACCAGGAAGAGGAGAGCTGGACACTTTTATCTGCGCTCCCTAACAAGAAGAGGGGCTGCATCCTTCAGAATCACACACACACACACACACACACATACACTTGCATACGCACTAACATTCCTCTGTCTATGAATAGACGTATTGACTGTTGTATTACTTTTCTTGTGTATAAATAAAGACAAGTGCAAGAACAGAGCGCGCACATCACAGGGCCCCCACTCTCGTGTGAGCGCTCTGTGACCGCCCTTGCAAGTAAAAACTACAGTGTGTTTCTACCTTTCAGACTCTCAGCTGAAGAAGTGTCTTTTAGAATGAATCTCTTGACATCTTCTAATTTCTTAAACCAAACAAAGACACAATACTATTCAAATAATATATTTTTTAAATTTTAGGATACGGTGTTCTGGGAATCCATCCTACCCGTTGTTTCTGCGCATGTGCACGACACAAAAGTAAGTGCCAAACCATCCTGGCTTCATGAATATGAGCTACAAGCGTACTCTGATGGGTAAAGTTAAGTGGCAAACCATCATACCTACTTACTTTTGTGGTGGAATTACTCTGTGACAGCAGAAATGTGCATAAACTACTTACGGTAGGACGTTTTGCCAAAGTAGGATGGTTTGTTGGGGAGAAGCTTTATATAAGATGAAACAAAAGGAAAAGCTGAAAGTTACAACTAAACTGTTTTCAGTAAAAGCTTTTTAGAGTTTAGTAAAGTTTTTCTTTATTCTCAGAATGAACTGAAACAACCTGAAACATTTTCTGACACAAAAAACAGTTAAAGTTCAATTTATTTTGTACCAATAACAAGTGAAACTTACAATGAATTCTATTGGGTGGTGACGTCAAAGAATCGTGAGCAGGAATCTAGAGTCTGAATTTGCCTGTGCAAGAAAAAAACCCCCAGGTACTTCCCCACATCACACACACACACACACACACACACACACACACAAACTGAGCATGTATCATTTGCATAAAATTTCACACAAACAATGATTTTGTTTTATGCTTTACTTTTAGATGCCTGCTCATTGTTTTGTCTACCCAAAAGCAACAACAGATGTGGAAAGGAAATGACTCAAACTGAAGCTATGAATGAAAATCCTGACGTTTTTGTTTTGGAGACAGCTGCAAAGCTGCTATAGAAAGTTTCACCCCAAAACCAAACCTACACAAATGGCCAACAATCTCAAACTTGGCAGCAACTTCATAAGGCCAATAAATAAAGTAAATCTCATCATCAAATTTAATACAAAAAGCAAACTAAATCATAATAGAGTTTTTTTGAGCTGGACATTTTATTAGATGAGAGCAATGACTTTGTAATTTTTAATTGTGTTTGTAACTTATACTGACTGTGTGTGTGTCAAACTGTAATAACAAACAACAGCCCGGAGACTCTGGAGAAACTCTGAAACTGCTTTACTGGCATCACCGTGTACCCCTGTGTGGGCAACACATTCCTGCCTTTTTCTGTCACTTTTTGAGATATTTAAAAGATCTGAAAAGAGGACGGACATTGTACTCTGGGTGTACAGAAGACATTTGGAAGGATTTACATCTGAGCTGCCACGCCTTAGGAGAGCAGCGGAGACAATTATCTTAACTTATTGTTGTTCGAGGATTAAAGGGTAAAACAAAACTTGTCTCCAGACTTTTTCATTCATGCATATTCATTCATTCATCATGTGATATAAACCTAATCAATGTTATAAATAAGACTAGATAGAATAGAAAGAATAGAATAGAATAGAAAGTACTTAAATATGAGCTGATAGAAAAAGGAAGTGCAGTAGAGCGCTGTTCAGGCATGTTGTGTAATACAGGAAAGCACTGAATGGTCCAATAGGACTAAAAGTGTGAGTGTCTGTGTGTGTGTTGTGTTTGTGTGTGTCAAACTGTGCTAAGAAAAACAGCCCCAAAACTGGAGAGACTCCAGAGTCTCTGGAAAAACTATACAAGAAACTGATTGACCCCTGTGTGGGTAACACATTCCTGCCTTTTTCTGACACTTTTTGAGATATTTAAAAGATCTGAAAAGAAGACAGACATTGTGCACCCAGAGTACAGAAGACATTTGGAAGGATTTACATCTGTGCTGCCACAGCGGAGACAATTGTCTTTACTTATTATAAAAGCTTTTGATTACTTCATCATCAGCTTAAGAATGGTAAATGGTAAATGGCCTGTATTTATATAGCGGCTTACCAGTCCCTAAGGACCCCAAAGCGCTTTACATATCCAGTCATCCACCCATTCACACACACATTCACACACTGGTACTGGCAAGCTACATTGTAGCCACAGCCACCCTGGGGCGCACTGACAGAGGCGAGGCTGCCGGACACTGGCGCCACCGGGCCCTCTGACCACCACCAGTAGGCAACGGGTGAAGTGTCTTGCCCAAGGACACAACGACCGAGACTGTCCAAGCCGGGGCTCAAACCGGCAACCTTCCGATTACAAGGCGAACTCCCAACTCTTGAGCCACGATCGCCCCTTACTCTTGAGCCACGATAAGAACACAATCAGTCAATTTCAGACTTACAGGAACTCAGAGCTGTGTAAGGAAAATACACCTTTTCATCTGGAAGTTGAGTAGAACTCAATTTACAACAAAACAAGAAGGTAAATTTATATCACCACATCACATCTATAAGTGCTGAATTTATTAAATAGTTTATCAGCATACAAATAATAATTGTTTTGTGTTTTTTTAGATGCCAGCTCGTCGTTTTGACTAACCTAAAGGAATGAAC